AGGTTAAAATTACTAAGATGTAATCAATGACAGATTCTCAAAGAAATTTAATATCTATATAATAAAATTTTATTCTATATCCTTATGATATATATAATTAAACAAATTTTTTACAGTAATTGTTTTACCAGTGGAAATTTAGATTTGTTTCGCACGAATTTTACCCGAAAGTAATTTTGAGGTCTCGCACTACGTGAATCTTTATATAATCGGTTTTTAGCGTGTCAAAATATATTAATTAACTGTTTGAGTAATAATTGTATTAGATTATATCTCCGTAGAAAAGAAATGAAATTTGTCATATGTAGAAAAGAGACACAATACGCTTAATGCTTTGTTGAAATATCTGAGTCCCCGAGAGATTTTACACAACCGTAGTTCTATACCTTTCGAGGTCTGCGAGGAATCTATTGTTACGATGCGCTGCCACGATCTTTCGACGCGTTATCGTCTTCTCGAGAACGTGGAATTTCTGCATACGCCTATTGTGCAGTCCCGTGGGACGATAATGATTTATTTATCAGTCACGCGCCACAAAACTTGACACTCGCGTAACACCGGGGAAAACCTACCAACAAGAGTATCGAGTGTGCACGACCGACAGTAATGTATAATTTATTTTAATAAACAGAAATAACTTTGCATAATTCACACAGTGATAACTGCGCGAGGTATGAATAATTTACGTGAATCTTGCGAAGAGAGCGATAATTCGATCGACATACATGAGAATTTGAGTATACATATTTAACAACTCATACAATTTCTCAAGAAATTGAAAACTCGTCGCGTCTGCTCCTACGTTTACTTCACTCTCCTAAATGTTGTGGAAATCAAATAAAAATTTTATTACGTAATGCGAGGAACGCTTGTAATATATTATCGGCGAATCTGATATTTAAATTATTTTAGCTCCATGAAGAAAAGCATGATTTTGGTACGGAATCGGGAGGTTTTAATATCCGTATATTATTATGTAAATTTTCCTATTACCTTTGCAAAATAATTCCGTTAATTATTAATGATTTCATTGTGCTATCGCGAAAGTTTAATTGCAGCTACTCTTCGCATTTTCCACAATTCTTGGCGTAATTCTATTGCGCAATAGAATTATCATACCGATAGCCCCGACATCTGTTACGAATTTGCAACGTGTATCATTATTCCGATTACAAGTACCCATCATTATCTCTTGCACATTTTAACAGCGTTTTTTTCCTTTGTTTTCAATATATGTATAAACATACAATTTTCCCCCCAAATTATAGTGCGATTTTATATTTGTAGGGTCGTTTAAATTATATAATACATTTTTACATGAATAATGAATCCAGAAAGAATAAGTTTTAGCACATTACTCTCGAGAGCTCGATACTGAAAAGATAAATTAATTGCACGCACGCTTCTAAGAAACAGTGACGGTAATAAATGCCAACTCTCGCAATGTGTGTGATTGTTGCGACATGTAAAATGTCCGACGCAATAAATTTTCAAGTACACATCGAGCTCTAATAACATAGAACCGAAGTATATAATTGAAAGATACGTTTCCTTGAATGGAACAATTGAATTAAAGCAGAAGCTTTCTTCAAAATTATTAGTTTTTTAAGATTTCGCGATATTTATTTCAATCCAAGTAATACTCTGATAATTATTACTTATATGTAAAAATATATATTACTTGCTTATTGAAATTTCCAAGTTTCTTGGCACATTATGACTAACGCAATTCTGCTGATGCTGCAAAGATTATTATTATTCTCATGTGACACCGTGCGCGAGTCCCAGAGAAATGCGTAACAAAGATCGTGCAGATTTACCCGTGTGTTGTGTAACAGAGTGCAGTTATAATTCTTTTCTAACAAATCTTGTATGCTTAAACGTTTTAAACGTAGAGACATGCTGCTTATCCGTAAGCAATTTTTCACAGAAAATAAACGTGAAAGATAAAGCGTCTGCCACTGTTACGTTGCCAGTTACATGCACGATGCACGTTTGTAAGTAGAATTTCAAATAAGGCACATATGCTTCGCGCTGCAATGTTTCCCTTGGGAAGAGGGCTCTAACTCGCAAAGCTCATTTCGGTGAATCTGTCTTTGATCCCTACAGAGGGATTGTGAAATTCCAGCTTTTCGCGCCTGGCTCTTGTGCAAAAGTGGATCGTTTTGAGGATAATAGATGGCACAACTTTTCGGAATAGAAAACTCGACACGTGTCGTTAGATCTTTTTTTATACTAATCTAGTCTTAAAATAAAATATATATTTCATAAAAAGACAACCTGTAAGAATATTTAATACTTAAGACATTTTAATTTATATTTTCAATTTATATACCAATTATTAATTTAATTTACACTTTCAATTTATATATATATTATTTATATTCTATCATATTTTAATCTTAAAAATTTTCTTGATAAAAAATGGTACTGTGATGCATAATATATTTTAACATATATAATGCAATATTAAAGAGAAAGAGCATTCATAGAACGCTTGTTTACGAACAGCAGAATTTGAAATATCCTTATTATCCAATCTTATCTGCCTGCAACGTCAGCGCGGTGCGTATTTACTTTCTAGCGACATCTTGTTTCTCTTTTTATTCCGGTTATATTAACGAGACCGAATCTTTTCCTTTTTTTATTGAAACTGACGCAACTTAATTCCGATGTACTGCAATAATATTTAATATCTCTCATAATGTCTCTATCAAAAGTGGGTCGTGGTATCGGACAAGTTGTCAATGTGTCGTCCACACGAATTCACAACTGACTGACAATGCGCTGGTGTCTCGGAAACCGGTTATATTTCTTCTGGTTCATCCGACTCTGCACGCGGATTAAATTAACGCTGACATATTGTAAATATCATTTCCTAAGAATAAGCTAGTCTTGTCAATAACAACAACGATGCAACGCAACGTGCAATTAATGAAAATAATGCGCGACGCAATTTACGGAAAAATATTGTTGAAACATTATCGGATATTTATTACAAATAAATCTGTCGCTCTCTCAATTTGAGACATCGCGTTAACGTTATCTCTCGTTGCAAGTTACAGCGGGTCAAAATTTATTTTTAATGTCTATTTCTACCAGTGTAGATTAATTTTAATCTCGGTTCACCATATGTTTTACTAATTTCTAGAAATAGAAAAAATGCGGTATTCTATTTTATAGTCAATAAATACGTTTAAAAAATTTGTACGAGTTCATCAAATTGTACATTATACATAATACACAGGCGTGTACATTGAAACTCTATGACAACAGAAAGAGATCATTATTTGTAACATTGTTTTTTTTTCGCGACAGTCCGAGAGATGCGATTAACGAGATTGCCAAGAGAGGAGCACTGATATAATTGTAGTCGTGTCCAAATGGGATCAAGGCAGGCTCACGCATTTAGATTCCTTTTCCTCTTTTTCTCCATGAATTACGGCGCTGACATCACTCGTCGTTATCATCGAGTGGCCTGCTCTACGTGCTGTTGCAGTAGAACAGATATGCTGCTGTAGTCTATTAGCGACTATCAATTGCGTCGAACGTCACTTTACTTACGCGGGATCATAAGTTTTTCATTAGTTATCACGACAAAAGCTAGTCCCGAGCACTCAACATGCCGTACGTGCCTCGTACTTTCCGTTAAACAGATATTAACTGTTGTAATGACATATTTCACATTTAATTAACACGCAGTGTTAACGGCAGTTGCAGTTAATTAACTTTCCTTCTCGACATTGCGATATTCACGGTCATTTACTTCCTTTTCTTTAAAGTACACGGAAAGAAGTTCCTTTTCAAATTTATCCTGGAAATTATGTAACCGTGCGACAAGTCGGTGTATATGTCTCGAAAAAACTGGCAAAGTATCAGGAGAACATGATCGGTAAAGAGGTCGCACTATTAAAAATTCCAAGAATTTTATTCATACTCGCAAGAATTTAAATTTCTGAAATCTGTATCCTGCACAATCGAAAAAGTATCAGGAGAAAATGACCGGCGAGGAGGTCGCACTATCAAAAATTCCAAGAATTTCAATAATACTCCCAAGAATTTTATATACATTTCATTAGTAATTAAACTTACAATTAGTGTACATATTACTAATAAAATGTATGGTAAAATTTCAAAAAACTCACATAAAGTTCTTCGAAATGCCATCTTGTTCCACGATTACATGATTTTCCGTATAAATTTTTAAGAGAAAATTCTCTCTGTGTATATGATTGTAATTTAAACAAAAATTGCGCAGCCAGGAAGGGAAGTTACATTTTCCGATTTCCACCGCCGCGCGCGAGCATAAATCGACGTGAAGAAATTGCCGAGAAAAAGTTCTGGTCGTTGCAGGTCCATTGCGCGATCTAAATAAAAAATAAATGTGCGTAGGCAATATCGGAGTCAATTGCATAGAGCGCACAAGTTTCGTGACCTGGAGCAAGGAAGCGTAACACCCAGTACTTCATTTTGCCGCGTCAACTCATCTCGGTCTTATCTTCGCCTGCCACACGTGTCCGCAACGATACTCGAACGATTGATTGGCAGGATTCATATATCACACGTTTTCTTCCTTGCCTTCGTAATTTTTTTATACGTGCTCTGCGTTTCAAAATTTTTTCCTATCCAATTTCAACATCGAATTCACAATCCCATAATAAAGAACGCGTTTCGAAAATTATACGCGATACACTGTTAAATTTGACTCGTTGAGTTGCTACGAATTTAACAGTGCATAATTGCATTTTTTAAATTATCTTAGAGCATAATTAACGAGAAAAAGTCGCTACATTTAAACATTCCTATGCATTTTTCTGCATTATTTAAACGCGCGACTATATTTTTGTCGCCAACAAAAGGACAGTCGATCAATGTTTATTCCAATCGAGATCTGTTTAGCGAGACCGATTACATTTAGTTTCTAAATTTTCTGTCCAATGTGTTCTCCCGTTTAATCCGCACATCTGGAATGAACATTAATTTTATTCTGCTTGTTACAGAGAACGGTGGGACTTTGAAGATCCTTGTGAGCTTCGCCGTAGGCGCATTGCTGGGCGATGTTTTTCTACATCTTCTGCCGGAAGCTTTCGAGAGCGAATTGCAAGCAAGAGGTAATTCCACTTATTTTTCACATTCTTCCTTGTGCGCTGCGACGAAACTAAAGCGGATCTGTCTTATCTTACAAGGAAAGTTTTATGTATCAGAAAAGATAGATTGTAATATATCGCATCGCCTATTATTGATAAGATTGACCTTATCATAAAAAAATATTTAAAAAATCGATTCCAACAGCTCGGATGAATAGAATTACTTCGTAAGGAATAATAAGTAGAAGTAAATTTATGTATACAAGTACCTATAAAGAAAACGAATGTTACGTGCAAGATTTACACTCATTCATGCAATTAAAAAATTAAATAAACTAGTAAAACGAGTTCGTCATGCAAAACTAACGGCATTAGGAGGAAACGTTAACGAGGGGAAAAAAATCCCCCGAAAAGTCTGTCTATTAACCTCTGCCCCGATATTTCTGGCGAAATCGCGAAATCTGACACGGTATGAACGTGTAACGAACGCGGTATGATATAGTATTTCTGGATTGTTCAATACATGATATTGCACTCATATTACACGTGTATGTACTCCGAATGCGCTTTGCAACGCCCTGCATGTTAGCGGAGTACATCTGTGGTCAGTGCGGTCTTGAAGAGTATCGCCGAGAGCTTTATGAACGATTTAAGCGGCGGCTTCGAATTCTATTGTGCGTCAGTTGCAGATTTGAATTGCCAGCTGCGTCCACGTAAATTAAATCTTCCTCCGACCGAACCGCGAAGTGATCGGCGGGCTGGTAATATCCGTGTAAATTGCTCGGTCTGAATTGCAGATTTCCTAGCTTTCATTTTACATTTCTCGTACCTTTGTCGCCGTTGCAGGCAGAAAATGAGTAGTCAGGCTGCAATATGTTACGTGATTTAAATAATAATGAATATTCAACATTCGTTAAGGAAAACAATACGTTGTGTAACAGAGAAGGAATTTAATGATATTGTGATATGTGATAAATTATTATATGGTGTGATTGTGAATCACAATACTTGGTTTATTTGTAAATACTGCATTCCTTTTTATTTTCGCTTTTGTTTATTCTTTCTGCTCTTTATTTACAGCCAAAGATAATCACACGTCCACGCCCGCAGGCTTGTGTGTGTTATCCGCCTTTCTGTTCTTTGTAATTATCGAAAAACTCGTCGCTGCAGTAAACGAGGAAGCCCCGATCATTGCGGAACAGCAGGCCGAGGAAACTTCGATTAAGGATATAAATAAAGAAAAAGAGATGGATAATAATAATTGCATCACGATGACGAGCACTGAGAAGAACAGTTTCCTAAAAAAGTGCATGAAAAATACGACCGAGGTAATGCAATTAAAAATGTTATGTCACAATATTATCTAAAATCAGTATAACTGTGTAATGACTGAATACGTTCTGCAATAGGTGCAATTCCTGGAGAAACAACCCAGTAAGATAGAATTTGCTCAAGTCCCAAACGGTATCAAAGATCTGCAAAAGAACGGTTTTAAGGATCCTGACGTAATGAAATCTGCATTAGCAAGCGAATGCCCTAACGACGGTCCGCTGGTCGACGAGGCGAAGAGCTGCTTGAAGAAGCTTGTAAAGACTAATGGCTTCACATCGGCGATTTCACGTGTTGACTCTCCATACGTATGCTCACTGATCAGTATTGTTAATCGTTGGACTGTATGGACCGTATGGACAAAGAAATTCACTTCCGATTTGTTTCGCAAATTTTTCAATCCCAAAGCCTTCCCCGGATACCTCAATCTTTTGATGAACTTCCTCGACAATTTTACCCACGGTTTATCTGTGGGTGGATCGTTCCTAATTTCCTTCCGTGTAGGTGTCCTCAGCACGTTCACTATTTTGGTGCACGAAATACCTCATGAGGTTGGCGATTTTGCTATTCTATTACGAAGCGGATTTAGCAGATGGGACGCTGCGCGGGCGCAGCTAATCACAGCTGGCGGCGGCATCGTTGGTGCTTTGGCAGCCGTCTCCTTTTCCGGTAGTTTAGGTAAATAATGTTTTTTTTTAGTTTTAAGACAAAGTCTGTGAAAACTTGATAAAAATAATGCAGGGTAAATTAATTATACAGTTGCATTTTTTATTAGCTTAATTGTGTAAAGTTTGTCGATTCATGGATATTATAATTTATTTTACCATATTGCTTTATTCAAAGTAATTTTTGAGATAATATTTTTATAGTATATTGTAGATAATTTTGTTAATATTTATTACACAGAATTTATGAATTTATTTGACTTTTCAGAGGAAAGAACCAGTTGGATATTGCCATTGACCGCAGGAGGATTCATACATATTGGTTTAGTAACCATCCTGCCTGATTTATTGAAAGAAACGAATACAAAAGAATCTGTGAAACAACTTGGCGCTTTACTTTTGGGAGTCATTATCATGGCTGCGTTAATCTTTGTTTAGGTCAAATATTTCAGCAGAGAACTAGTGTGTTACGTAAAGAATTCTGTTATGTTAATATAAATTTCAGTTACATCTTGATATGTGTTACAATACTCTACAGTTGCCATAAAGTTATATAATACTTTTTCTCTCTATTATTTATTGAAAGAACACATCCTATCTTGTTTTATTATTTTGGGTGCACGAAAAGAATTTCTTTTAAATTCATTAAAATCATTAAAGAGTTGTTATCGTCGCTGTTCCTCCTTCCTCAATAACCCAAATTCCGTCTCAAGTTTAAGTAACAAGGTAAAAATATTTTGGGAAATATTTTCTAAGAATGTTTTCGATATTAAAATATTATCTGAGATTATATTCTTTCAGTGAATAACATAGAGAGGAAGAGGGATGAGAAAGAGAGAGAAAGTGAGCGAGTGAATAAGAGCAAAAAGAGAGAGAATTTGTGTATTATTTTATCAGAATTTAGTTACTCATCACGTTATAATGACAAGATGATTTGAGAAATGCTATTGTAAATTTTATATAGTTTATGTACTATATACCCGCAAAAATACACAAGTTTTATTATAGTTAGAGTACAATATTATTTTCCAGTGTATTACTGATAATGTTTTTTCTAATAACGAGATAATCCAGTATAAATTAAAAATGTCGTTTAAATTGTCTATCTAAAATGTTGACAATTTTTCATAATGATATCAATGGATAACGATATAAATACATTAGAAAGTTTATACATACTTTGAATATTTGCATCAAAATCTAGGATGTGCACTTCATAAATAATTTAATACCAATAAAGTATGATCATATGACATTTCCATTAAAAAAATTGAAAAGTTGTGTTTAAATTTATAATTAAAACAAATATAAATAGCAAAAAGTTGCGTACAAGTTTTGTAAAATCCAATATTCCAATATTAGATTTAATTCTTAACTGGTATTGCAACCAGTATTTGTTACTCAAAAATGACGAATTATACTGCGGCATGGATACTATCGGTATTGCTGTATGATAAAATTGTATTTATGTGCACACGCGTATGCATAAATTATATGCAAACGCGCAGCAGAAAATTTATAATAATCATCTTGTCATTAATAATGCGATAACGTTGCACATAAGGCTCCGAAGAGAAATTTACAATAGCCGAACAAATTATAAATAATATACAAATTCTCTTCTCTCTTTTTTTGCTTTCCAATTTTATAAATTTCGAATTTAGATATACTAATAACTTTTATAGTATATTTTATAACCTGTAAAATCGCATGGAGACATAGATTACGTTTCGACCACGTAAGATCCAATGAGTAAAAACTGGATAAAGCGACATTAATTATGTTCCTTTCATCTACGTCTGTACTAAAAAAAAATTCGTATTAATAGTCACAAGTATGTATTTTATATCTTGATGCAAATATCTACGGTTAACAAAATCCTCAAAAAAAGGTATGCATAAGTCTCTAACATATTTGCATCTTCATCGATATTAAGGAAAATTGTACGGCGATAATATATTTTCATTAAAATATATAAAAAGACATAGAATAATGTTTCGCATCAAGTATATCCATAAAAGGTACTACTGTGTATCTTTCTCAGATCGAGCTTCGCATTTCGTTAGATATTTAGATATATATATATAACTCAGATAAAATTTAGATAAATATATATATATATACCTGCGGGATATATATAAACTTTGTTAAATTTTCAATTTGTAAAGACGAATGCAACTCCCAGAAGGAATTTAGCTGTTGTAATTTTCTCTTAATAGCCTCGTGTATCATGCGCAATGTTCATACTTTATGAGTTGCACGAGATAACGCAATCCTTGTACTTAACAGGTAAAAACAAGGTATTTCATTCGGAATGCATGATACGGGAGTGCTCTTTTCTGCACCTGTAAATAGAGGCCCTATTTGGGGGACTGGTTAAAATTTAACATCTTTTACAAAAATATTTTCTATGTATCATATGGTTATATAAATGAAACTGTTCATATCTATGTAATCTCTAATTCGCTATGATTTGTAAATAAAATATACTATTCTGCGATTGTTCATATTTTACTCTTCTTTTAGACTAAATATATACGCTACAGGAACTTTCGGACAATAAGATGCGTGGCGTGTATAATCGGTACAAAATAATTTATTAAATAATTATTCTAAAACAGAAGAGAAAACATAACAGTTGCGCATACTTACTAAGTGACAGCCAGATAACTAAAGTCTTACATATTATGTACACATACATTTCAGTCGTTTTACTTTTCAAATTATATTTTTCTTAGCTGTCCCTCATAATTGTGAGGTGTATACATGAAATATTAATTGAGCTGATTAAATCAAATATCAAAAGTTCCCGTCTCTTGGGCTCGAAACATTCGAATGTTCCAGATAGGCCAATAGGAAGGAAATCCTTACAGTGAAGAAATCGCTATAATAAGAAAAACACTAAGGGCCAGTTTCACAAACGTCGGTCAACTGTTAACCAGAGTTCAGTCAACTCCCTATCTTTTTCTATCTTATTGTCTAAGGGCCAGTTTCACAAACATCGGTTAACTGTTAATTAGGGTTCAGTCGACTCCCTATCGTTTTTCATCTTATTATTTAAGAAGAGACAGCGGATCAATTAACCTTTGGTTAGCAGTTAACCGACGTTTGTGAAACTGGCCCTTAATAAGAGACATAATGAATTAACCTTCGGTTGGCAGTCGTTTGTGAAACTCGCTCTAACTGTGCCATTTAAGATAAAAATAAAGAACTAAAATTTAATTGACATCTAATGATTAGTATTTCATACTTTGGATGCAAGAGACGAGAACCTGCGCACTCCACCGGTCAATCCTGTATAACGAGCTATTTACAATAGGGATATAATGAGCACGTTTAGAATAACAAAATATCTTTTTTTTTATGCTTTGATAGATTTCCCTTAAGACCCGTCAATTGTAGCTAATCATTCATCCGCAGATAATTATCTTCTTTAAGACTATTGTAATTGCTATGACAATGATTAATTTTGTTCTTGTCACAAAAACTTTTTACACCGGCTAAAACAAATGCATATTAAGTAAGCCCTACGCTATTGCACATGATTGCATATCTATTAATGTAAGACTGGAATTTAGTCTTCATAGTCTTCAATATACTTTCGTATATTTTCAATTACCTTAGGTATTAACACAAAATATTCACAATTCATCGTGAGGTGCTTCGAAAATACTAATTTTTAATCTTTCAATCAGCAATATTAAACTCTTTAAAACGTCAGTTTCGTCGACGGTGAGTTTAATATTAGGATTTTGATAAAAGTGTAAGAGATTATCTATAACAGGCAAAAGCAAGAGCTTAATGTTCTTAAACTCCGTCTTACAAATAGGAGATACCGTGATCATACTGTCCGAGACTACTTCGAGGAAATCGTTATTTTCTATGCTGAAGTGGCCAGTCAGCTTTTCTTTGAAGCATTTGACCATCAAGTTGCTCAAGAGCTTACAGTAGTCGTGCCTCAGTAATCTCAGCTCGAAATCTGTAATAGCATACTCCCTCATTTTCTGTTGACGCTGCTCGGCGTCGTAGATCTCTTCCAGGTTCCGTCTTTCGACCGTCAGGTCGTTGATTATTTTCATTGCTTTCATTTGTATCTGTAACTGATCGTCGTACAGAATCTTGCCGAGTAATTGCAAACCGCCGTGATCAATCCAAGCTTTCTGAGCGGCGGGAAACTGGCGTATTAAGGCACTTAGAGCAAAGAGACATCTGGACTTTACTTCAACTTTACTATTTGTAGACAAGACGTGCAACACTTTTTGGATAAAATCATTTTCTAATGCCTTGGCTTGCACTTTCGGATTTGATTGGGCAGCTGCTCCTAAAAGGCGTAGTGCTTCTGATTTTATTTCATTGTTCGTTCCATTGAGACATGGCGATATGATTTTAGTCAGACTGCAACAAAAAGAAAGAGTTGGTTAGAATATTAGTAAACCGACTGTCTCTATAGAAACGTCGTTACCCGTTTGCACTTACCCATCCATGTCTGAGAATATTTTAGCATTGTCTATTTGATGAAGAAGGTATTCTAGATTGTTTAAGATGTCCAATACCTCTTCGATCTCTATGCTGGTCAACGTTCCTGTAGTGATACTACTTTTGTAAGATTGGAATTTCTGGAAAAACCTCTTCAATAATTCCGAGTCGCTCGTAACGTTGACTTTAAGAGCGTTGAGTTCCTCCTTCAGAGTTTCGTAAAAGCGTTTGAAACGCTTCTCAGTTCTCGGCCGGGTCTCTCCGTTCTAGAGTAAAAATGGGGATAAATTATCAGTGCTACTTAGATCTCGAGATAATGCAATACGTTAAAAGCACTGAATAGGCGAAACCGTGAACACAATTGCAGTTATCATGTGCAACAAAATTCACGCAATCTGTCCAGTAATTATGAGACTCGGCTCGTAAAAATTAAGAAGCGAGAGCAACAGTTACATTCATATTCGACGCGTCTTCCGCCTCATCTTGCTTCAGCTTCTTCAATCGCGCTTTCAGCTCGTCGATGGGCAATTTTAGGGACTCCGAGACCTTCTTTATTTTCACAGGGTCTGGTTCTTCGTTCTCCAGGACCGATTTATCGGGATGCAGCGTCAGCGACTTGGCGTTCGAACGGTTCGCATTCTCATCGTCCTCTTCCGCATCGTCCATCAGTTTCGCCTCCGTCACTCCAGTCTCAAAATTATGCCTCACGTGAAGCCCCTTGGGGATGGGGGTTCCTGATAAATTACATCTTTGTTAATCCAACATCATCAGCATATTTGCAATGTCTAGTCTAACAAAATACCGGCGTGCATTTGTGCGCGACAAATTTAGTTTACAGTCACAATTAAGTTACAACCTCGCGTAAGCAATTCTCGCGGAGCTCGCGCGAATATCTCTGCGAGTAAACCTTCCAGCAGCGTCCGTGCGTTTCAGGGGGGGGCTCGGAAAAATTCTCAACGCAAGTTTGCGAAGACCGGGGGGATCGCTCGCGGACCACGTAATCCAATCCGCACGTACGTCACTGGCGGGCGCCCGGGCCGGAGCAGAGGCGACGGCCGTCGGGGTCCCCGCTGCTCCATTATTCAAACCGCCCCCGAGCGATCGCCGAAAATCCCGCGGCGTCGGGGCGACGCGTTTCCCCGCTGCGGCAGGGTCGCGCGTACGACGGATTTGACTGACGTGGTCCTTTCGCGGACGAAAAGGACGGATCTCGGTCGGCGTGCAAAGTAGTCCCTCGCGGTCGCGGCGTGGGGAGGGAGGAGAGACGAGGGGGGATGGGGAAAGGGATCGCACTCACCCTTCTTCACCGTCTGCCACTCGTGCGTCGCCACGAAGGCGCTCTCGTTTTTTTCGGCGACGCCGAAAATCGCGAGCGGCAGGTAGAGCAGCAGGATGCACGTGGCGGCACGCATTCTGACGCCGTCGTGTTGTTATCGCTGTCGTCGTCGTCGTCGTCACCTGGGGAGGGGGAGAGAGAGAGAGAGAGCGAGCGCGTGTGCGGCCTGCACGACCTTTTTTTTCGCCCCTCACCGACGGTCCGTTCGCGGAGACGCGCGGGTCCCCGGGTTCGTCAGCTGGCGCGGGCGCGCGGCGAGAACGTCGTCAGCGGGCCGCTCGGCATGACATTTGTCGCGGGACTCTGCGGGGTTTTCACGTGTTGCGTCCGCGCTGTTATATCGCGTCTGTGTTGCCGACCAACGCGCCGACGGTAGTTGCGCGCGGCCGCCGCCAGGGCCGGCGCCGGCCAATGGGCGGGCCGCGACGTTGCCGCGTGCCCGCCGCCTTTTCGAATCCCTCCTATCCGTGCGTTCCGAGAGAGAGAGAGAGAAGAAAAAAAAACGGAACGTTTTCAACGTCCCGGTGAGAAGAAGCGATTCGTCGATCGATGTCGAAACGCGACGTCAATCCGGCGGTGTCGATTCGATATTCGCGTCGAAATACTTTCAGTGGCGTCGCGGCACGTGGCGCCCGGTTTCTTCGCCGCGCGATCCAATTTGTCCTGCAAAAGTGCAAAGTACGCGCGTATCGAAAAGAGCGGAGAAACGCCGGCACGCGCGTCTAAAACTTTCACCGACGAATATCGAGTCGGTTCGCGCTCGAGAAAACGGTGAGACTCACGTCCCTGGAGATTTTTAGGAATGCGCTCGGTGCGCCTTGGCGCGGCGGCGACGGCGGCGGCGGCAACGCCGCGCGGACGCGCTCGACCAATCGGCGCGCGGAACGTAGCTCGGCGCGCTCGGGCCAGCTCACGGCGAAACTCATTTACTACGCGCTCGTACGACGGCCGGCACGTGCGGCGACTCGTTCCCTCGCGCAGTAACACAGTTACCGTTGCGCGCGCGGCGTCGCTCTCTCTCGCACGCTGTACTCCATCACCGCGCACGACACGCACACGTCCGCCGCCGCCGTCGCCGCTGCCGTCGTCTCCCCCCCGTACGTACGGCACGCACGCATCACGCTGACGAGAATCCGCTGATAGCCGACCGATCGCCATGGCAGAGGAGTATCTGTACGGTAAGTACGGTCGGCCGCGGTGCCGCGGTCGCCGCGGCCCCGCTATTTCCCGGCGCACGCGGATACTTACGGGCCGTCGGCCATTTGAGCGGCGAACGGGCTGCACGTCGGCCGAGACGCCGGCTGGGCCTGCGGCCATTGCGGCCGCCGGCCCCCATTGTGCCGCGCCGGGGCCGGCGTGCACGGTACTCGCGGCTAATCGCACCGCGGCGCCGGCTACGACGGCGCCCGCGGTCCCGTCCCCTACGCCCCCTGCTCCTCCGCCTCCGCCGCCCTCCCGCAATGCTACTACTTGCGCCTTCCGTGCCCAGGAATCACCCTCGAGGGACCGAACGCGACCGAGGTATGGGACCCGGAGCACAAGAACGACGACTCGGACGGCACGGCCCAGAACATCGCCGGCGCCGACCAGAAGCTCATCATAAAGATGGTGAGTGGCACCTCTTCCGCCGGGAGCGCGTATCCCGGTGCACCCCCGGCGCCTCCCTCGCCCGCGACGGGGCGGCCCGCCTCCGTCGGATTCGTCGCCGGCCGCGGCCGGCGACGTCCGGTCCTCGCGCGTCCGATCATCGTCCCGCTCCGCGCCGCGCCGCTCCGCGCCGCGCCGAGAGGGATTCGCTCGCATGCCTCCGGTTCCCTCCTCGTAGTGCTAATCGCCGCCGTCGCCGCGCCGTGGAACGTTTCGCGCGCGAAACTTCAATCGTTACGCTCTCGGCTCGCGCGGGGGATTCGCCCCCCCTCCCCCCCCGAGATGACAGTCGGGCTTTTTTTTCCCTCCTAGAAAAACGTTTCCTCCGAGCCGTTCAACGGCCGCCGAGGTGCGGCGCCTCCTCGCGACGCCCCCGTGGCCGGTTGCGATCGAATCGCGGGACGATTTATCGCCGCCGCCGAGCGCCGGGAAAGTTTGATGCTTGGCGCCATTTTTTCACAACGGCTTCGCCCTTTCCCCTACTTTTTTTTGTGCCCTGGGCTCTATTATATCGAGGGATGAAGTTTTAACGGAAATCCCGCGGCCGGGTCGATTTCAATTGGCCCGGGGACTCGCGGCGCGCGGGTCCAATTTCGCGACGCGCCGGTTTCCAAGTTGCCGTGCACGTTGGAGAATAAATAATGAACATTGAAATACGCTCGTCATGAGTAATTTTGTATAAATGCGTTGGGTTCTACTTCAACGTTATTTTTTCACCGAGTCCGCGAGAAGAAAATGGAATCTCCGGTTACCTCGTGTCTGCTGTTCCCGTGTAATCGACGGGAAGCTCGAAAATAACGAGGATGTTGTAAACTTTTCTATCTCATTCTATTTCAGGGTCGAGCTGCTTTCTAACCTAAAAAGGCCACGGTTGATCAAAGAACTTTTTATGTAGCGCGTGGACAAAAACGTTTGAGATAAAATGCGCTTAACGGAGAGCGGAGTCATGAGAAATCCTGATTCGTAATTGTTCCGATAGCTTTTGTTTATAAGAATTATTCGCCACTTGCATGGTAGAGTTGAAAGACTTTCGCAAGACTTGAGTCTCTGTAGCTAAGAGCATCCAGAATAATCCTCGTCGACGTTATTCAACGTAGCTAAATACATAATTACATTTCATACATAATTTCTTGCATAATATTTGTCACGGTACTTTCAGGTTCTTCTGGGGCCAGAGGCTAAACCCGGGGAGCTCAATGTCCTGCAGGTTGAGGCGATGGGATTGAAGGGGCCCGTGAAAACTCCGATTGCACTGCTGGAGATGGGAAAGACTGCACAGATCATTCTTGATCTCAGTTTGCCGGATCCTCCAGTCACGTTCACGTTGGTGAAGGGCAGCGGCCCCGTTCACATAGTAGGACATAATCTTCTTGGTGCGTACCTCTGCATGGATTTCTACAAGTTTCTACAGATTTGTAACTTACAGCGCTTAAAAAAGCTGTGCTCAATTTCTTTATCCCGTTACCTCGGGATCGGGTTCACGTTACGGACAACTTGCCCTTGTTGCACGCACATACACAGTATATTCTCCTACTATAAGAAATTTCTAATTTCTTACATGCGAGATTACAATCATGGGAATCATTTGCCGAATCTTTCGCCTGATAGCTCTAGCGATTGCTCGAGCACTGAGCTAACTCTGTATTTTATGTTATTAAATATTGTGTATATTGCTTGCACTGTATATAACTTAATACAAAATACATGTACATTACATACAGAAATATCTAATCTTAATAATACGCGTTGTTGCTCAACTATAGTGTGAACTTCTGAAATTATTAATAAAAAGTTAGTGGTTTTACATTTTGTTAATATTTGTAATTATAAAAGTGTATCAAATAGAGGCGATAAAACTGAAATTGGACGCCTTCCTGGAGAAAGAAGGAAAAACAAGTTCACATTAGATTTCATTATTTTATATTAAAATACATATTGCGTCTTACACACAAACATGTTAAAAGTGGAATATAAGATATATTTCTTATATAAACATGTTAAAATGTTCTTTAGTTTCAAAGCGACAATTAAATTTGTGTTTCATTTAAATTTTAAATCTATTATAAATAATTTTTTATATTAGTATATTGGACAAATTTCAACTTGAATTAACAATACATGAAATGAATAAAGTACTTGTTATTTGGTCCAACTTGTTATCTGTTTCGGACAGATAATTCCATTATTTATTTATAACTGATAGTGTTGTTCTGTAACATGCAACATTTAATAACGTGAACTTTGCGAAATATTAAAAATGTTTTCCTCTTAAATATGCTACATGAGTACATAGTTTTTCTTCTATAGGTGCGCATATTGAAGAATTCGAAGACATGGATGATGAAATGGAGGAAGAGAATATTGACGATGAGGAGGATGAAAAGGTATGAATTATGACATAATATACATACACATATATATATATATATATATATATATATATCTGCAATGAAAAATAATTACACATTTATAAACATTTTATTACAAATTTTATTATAATAAATTTAGCAGATTACGGGTAGTGATGAGGAGTAGTGATTTAATATCAAGTTACATAGAATATATCTCTACAACAATGAGATCTTTCGAATCCAGAATGTGTTAAAAAAATGTAATTATAATTTATAAGTTATTATTTACTGTAGAGAATCTGCTAATAGACCTCACGATATACCTCTATAGTTTTTTTATCTTTATTTTCTATGTTGCTAGAATCCACGTATCAAGTTATATATTGTAAATATCCATTTCAGGCACCGCGAAAGAAGCGAAAGCTTTTATCAGGAAATAAAAACGGCGTTTAATAAACATGGCCGTGAAAATAGACAAATAGAATGTTAAGATAAAACTGAACACTGCGCTATAGTCAGTGGATCTTTTAAAGGATTACAATATCGTACTAAGACCATTTTCTACTTTACTCGAAACTATTTCTTAAGATACCTTTGAAGTTATTATTTAAGGAAGTAAAAAAGTGAACCACTTATTTCGAAAAGTCACAAATGTATCTCTTGCGTTCTCATTCATGTTTTATTTTTGTAAAATAAATCTTATTTTGCAAAGAATTGCTTTTATTCCTTACTAATCACGCTTCCTTTTCGTCCATTTTTGCAAAGTAACGCATTTCAATTGTAATTGTTTATTGAATCTTAGAAAACCAAGTATTATAATGTGATTAATATTTATGTTGATAAATGCAAAACCTTGTTAAAAATCAAAATTATTAGTTAACACAAATTGATTTTGGAATTTTAATTTGATTATAAAAGTTATGGAATTTCATGTTCTTTTCTTTAGAATTTTCTCTAAACGAAAAGATGTCAATACATTATGCATAAATAACCTTCCCATATTAATTTTTTTACGTAAATTAGCAGCTGCAGCTAAATATAAAAATCAGGCAAGAACTAGCAAAAATCAGCAAGAACAAGAAAAAATAAACATGAGCCTTACATAGTATACATACAATATTTAATGTGAATGTTACGTTAGATATGGAAACACTATCGATGTGATTTTGCCTGTAGAATTAATTGCACGATTACATTTTATATTTCTTGTAGGATCCTGAAGATGACGAGGACGAGGATGACGAACCTAAGAAGAAGAATGCTAAATTAACAGCCGCAGCAAAATACAAAAATCAGGCTAACAAGAACAAGAAAAAATAAAAAATGAGCCTTAACATTATGAAAATAAAACAAACTCTTAAGTTAAGATACTACACATAAGTCCATCATTATCATCCGCATTTGTGCGAATCTAGTATCATTTCATCGATTTATCATTCGATAAAATGATGCCTTCCACTTTTCTAAAGACACAACTGGACCAACAAAATATTAATAAGATAATTATTTTAAAATGACTTTGGGTGATATTGTTAGTATGAAAAACGATACGATTTGTTTTACTTCAAAAATGTTTTTTTCTGCTTTAGCTGATCTTTTTTTATGCTACTTCCCAAAATGAAGTTTACAGTTATTTCAGTTATACAGAACATTTGCGTAAAGTATGTCTCTGGTATGTATACTTGAATATTTTTCAAGATAATGTATATTTAGTTGCACATGGAATTTAATATTGAAGAGAAAAACACGTTTATAACAAGATTTTTATAAATATAATTTCTCCGTCTCCAAAGTGATCTTTTATTATTTTGAAATACTAACGTGGTTTCAGATAAAATTGAATATTTTTCGTCTTTATAAGATTTTATGCTGTTGATAGAAAGGAGAACATCTTGAAACGAATATTTTTTCCTCTTTTTCTTGGTGAATTTCCATATAACACAAAACACGTAATTTTAAATATGGTGTAATGAAACAGTGTACTCTATTATTTCTGGCCCAGTTGTTATTGTCAAATTTGTGGAAAGCATAAATTAATTTGCAATGAGAGATTTTGTACTTCAAATTTTTTCTGACAGTGTTCATATCGACGGGACTCTTTCAGAGATGCAAAAACAATATTCTAATGTAACCATTTCAACGCGATTTTTGAAAATAGTTCTCTTCATCTAAGGAATTACGAAACTAAGGCTTCAATATGATGTATAATTTATTTTCGTGTGTACAAGATGGGGAAAAGATTATTAGTCATTCAAAAATCCTAATTCCAAAATTTTATTTACGTCTCAAAAAATATCAGCATGAAAAGGAGAAAATACACGTCATTTAAATATTCATTCCATTTGATGAAAGGTAATAGAAACGGGAGTTACAGGTGTACTAAGTAAAGAAACTGCTCTTACATCAGTGTCATATGCTATTGAAGCATGTGTGATGCATGTGTAAAAAACGTGCGATTGATAAGTAGTCTGTACACCTATTTTGTACATATACGATACAATAAAAAATTTCACAACTTTTAAAATCCGTATCGCTTGGGTAAACATTTATTTGTGCAACCTATCGTATCGTAATAAAGAATATTTTTTAATGTATTTCTCTAACCTGTAATATATCTATACGTTATTTAAAAAATTATTTTTCTTTATTTTTTAAGTAAAACGTTATTTTATTATTTGAAACAAGGTTACTTCAAGTTCGTAAATACTGAACAATACTTGCAATTACGCTCGACACATCGACTTTTCTAACGTTCTTCATTTATCTACAACTTATTCATGTAATATCATTAATTATATATTTCACCTTTATATGTTGATTATTTGTACATAATTAACGTGTAATATGTCAAGCTTTCTTTTCTTTTATACTAAGGAAAAATATATACTTTAGGCAAATCAATTTACATACAGAGATAATTTCAAAAATTTGAATATTAACTCTGAACTGTGAATATCAATTCAGTACAAAACATTGAATAACTTGAACTCCATTACAATAGTAAACTAAATATCCAATCGATTTAATATGGGTGGTATTAGTCAATCAATTTGTGCAACATGAAGTTGAACATGAAGTGTGCGATATAACCAATAAAATAACAAATATAGAAAATTATTAGATATTACGGATTAGCATTTGGGGTTAAGCATCGTGATATGCAGAATGTTAACTTAAACAAATGTTCTACTAATGTAGAAAACCAAGCTTCCTATAACATTGCGGAATGCGACAGAGTTGATCATGAAATAGTGACTCCATCGCAAGTACGTTAGTATTTTACTTGAATATCATTAATTAATTCTTTACGAATTAGAGAAAACAAAATTTCTGCTTACTCTTAATATGAAACATTATAAACGAATAAAATATATAAATGAATAACTTCAGAAAATTGTTTACTGCTTTTCAAAGTTTTTCGCTACCGCTAAATACATTTGCTGTATTGTATATTATTAATTTTTATAACTGGCATTGTCAACAACTGTAATTTTTAACTGTGCGTATCAAGATAGCAAAATTAAATGAAGCTGTAACAAATTTAAAAGATGCTTTGCGAATAAAAGATGTACAATTAGAAAATTCACATCGAGAGAAAAGTAGATTACTGGCGGAATTAAAGAAGCAACAAAGATGCAACAGAAATCTTAAACGTAAGACTTGATCATGACAAGTAATTTCGAAAGTACTCGTGTAGCTTATGAAATTTTATGCGTAAACGCTTAATTTTGGGAGTGGCTTTAGTGATTCTAATAAGTTGATTCAGCAAACGTGAATGACACAGTGTACAAATATTAATTATTTTTATTGTAGAACAGTTAGATGGCGAGAGAATTTTCCACCAAAGGGAGAAGGACCATTTCCTTGAAGAAATGCAACGGTACAGAGGCAGGTATACCGGCAACGTGTCCAAGATTCAGCAACAACGGCATAAGGAGCTCGAAGAGGCACAGGATTCCTTGGAGAGAGAAAACAAGCAGCTCAGAGCTGAGTTGTTAGATAAAAACGAAGTTACGTATAATCTATGCGTGAAGTTCCTTCGTATGAAGTATGCTAAAGACACATTGAGATATAAATTGGATCAGTTGCTGCACGAGCATTTGCTAGTAATGGCGGAGATGATGGAGAAATTAGACGAGGCGAGGAAGGAGCTTAATTTAATTGTATCGGAAAAATTTCAGGAACCGTTGCCCCTTAACAAAGCGAAATTTTTACAAGTAATCGATAATATATCTCTCCGCCCTTATCGTCCAAACCTCCCGATATTATGTAGCATATCTTACGATTCGTTAGGTTGTACAGAGGAATAACAGATTGACGTATGAAAATGCGACGTTAAAGGTACAGGTTCATCAACTTACTCAGAACATAGAGAAATTGAAAGGCCACGTGCAAAGACCGAAGAAGATTAATGTAGACGCGAAAATCATTGAGAAATTAGCAACGCAAAGTAGTACAAGGTATACTATGCGTGAGAAAAAAGTAATATCTTTCATTGTACATCTTTAATGTTAAATCAAATCTATACGTAACGTTATTAATGGAAGATATGACCATTTGTGCTTTCAGGTCAACTCTAGATAAAGCGGAAAAAGTCGCGTTGCTTTCTAAATTATCTCAACCTGCCGTTGAATACGCGGAAACAATCTCGCGAGTGAATTCTGAAAGTCCAGATGATTGCGTGTTTAATGACTCCAAAGATGTTAAAAGCAGAGACGATAAACATTCCAAAGAATTTCGCACAGATCGCGCTCAAAGTGCGCCGGGAATTGTAGAAGCGTCCGTTGCTTCTCGACGGAATAGATGACTGCGTATTTATATAAATATATTTATTCCTTTCTCGCGTATCTTTATTAATCTGTTGAATTGACGCGATATAATAAAATCGCTTGTTAAGGATTGTCGCTACCAAAGTTTCTTTATATCATCGAAAGGCAAGGAAACAAATTCCTATTTAACAAAACGTTTATAGTGCAAAGTGATAATCGCGTCATCCAACAAGTGATGCGAGGTTTCAGTGATATTTTTGAAATGAAACAAAAACATTCGACAATTTAATTTTAATCGAAAATATATTTTCCATTATTATTTACAACTACTTCCCGCCTTAATCGTAAATTTTCCATTGCCCGGTAATAAAAGTCTCAGTTTTGAGCTAAAAAGTAAATCAACCTTCCTTTTATATATCACATTATTTATATTTATGAGATGATCCAATAATTAAAAAATTATTAAAATATTGCACGCTTTTGTTCGCAATATTTCGAATGTTGGCTGTCACTTTTATTTCCTTGTCTTTTGATGCGAAACGAGATTTATCTATAATAAGACGGAGTCTTTTCATATCAGGCGATGTCGAACATTAATTAATAGATCGATTGAGACCGCGAACTAAGCATTAAGAAATTTGTCTTCTCCTTTTCCCCTTTTTCACCGGATCGCTCTCGCTTTCCTACATTACTGGGCAGATTTCAACGCGTGTATTTTGCGTCAACTTAGTTCCGCGACAACGAGGTCGTCGACTCGAATTTATTTTCTACACGCCAACCAAAATGAGAATCTCCAAGATTAAGCGCATTTATTTATTCCACTACGTTGCCACATCGCCGGGCTATTTTCTCCTCCCGTCTATCCGCGGTGTATATTATTAGCGGTACCATTAATGCAATTACAGAAGCTATCATGGGGAACGTAGAAAACGTCTGGTGGCCAATACTATTTCATATAAGCCGATCTACCTCTTTTCTCCTCGCCAATAAAAAGTATCGACAAAATGCAGAAGGGACGTCAATCCGCGAATGAATTCGTGGGCGTTCGACTATCCTATATCGGACCGTGCGGCGGCAATTAAAGCGATAAAAAAAGGACGCGACGTGACGCATATATTTCTGGCGCTTCTGAGTAAGTACATTTTATGCGCGAGTCGTCCGTCATACACGTACAAGCTCTCCCCGTTATCAGAAATATTATCTTCGCTGATACGAATCGAGGAACGAAAGTCGAATGCAGGCCCCAGGTTCGAATCCTGGCTGAGGTAATACTTTTCGCAATAAGAATAATTTACAGCATGGGGAAAGGGGGGTATTGAGTGCTAAATGTAGCATCAGAAAAATGCTAAAATGTACACTGAGAAAAATGCTTTGGTTGTATCAACAAGGCATGTATGATAGAATGTATTTTAGCTAATCCGAAACAGAATTTCTAGTTAGCACGATAGGGCTCGATATTTCATAACCAGAAGTTTGCTAGACCTCACTACACATCTGGTAAATCCTAAAGGAATTCTGATTCGTCCATTTTCTAACAGCCGACTGGTTGGATCTATCAGATTTGTTTTTCAGTGTAGCGTTTTAAATATAACTGCAAATCGTTCATCGATTTGAATATGTGAATCTGCTGACGATAATGATTCCACTTGTAAGAAAACTGCATTATGCCCGAAAAAGAAATCGGCGCGCAGAACGAAGTTGGAAAGAAACGGTATATAAATTCACACTCTAAAATATTATAGGAATTACAAGTTGGGCTACCTACATCTTGCCTTGTGACCCACATTGGCGTTCTCTCATATGTTGTTCGGAAAGTCGAATGATTTAAATGTAGGAACCACAAAAATCTCGAATAACTAAACGATCCCTCTGCAGGTACATCGCCCGACTCGTCGCGACTTGAAAATCGTACAGGCGTACGGCCATCCGGCCATTTCCACTTTACCGTCGTTAATTATCGAGATTCGCCGGGCCTCGTCGGGGCCGATACCGCCGATATGGAAAGCGCGTTTCCGGCGGAAAAACGGATTTCTCGACGTTCTCCTCCCCCGCCCGGGAATCGAGCGGGAGCCGAGCGTCGAGTTTCTGCCTGAATCGTCGCTCACCCCGTCACCGCGGCGGAAAGGGAAAAGAAATGCGGGTCAGCGGGTGGTTAAGTGCTACCAGGGAAACCTTTAGGACAGTTTACCGCTTCGGCCGCGAAAGCCCCGGTCGTTTCCGCGGCCCCATTAAGTACGGGCGGGTCGCGAGAGTCGGACACCCATCGACTTCCGACCACGTCACACGGGGGGGGGGGGGGGGATCCCTGGTAGCACAGTGCATGGACCACACATCTGGTTAAACATTGGCCCAATATTCGCCTGTATCGGGCCAATGTTCAGCCAAGACTTGGTCCATGCACTGTGCTACTATACATATAGGGTTGTTTTCGCGGGATCCTCCGGCTCGCGCGCCCCGGAGAGGTGGTATACAGGGTGTTATGTAATACCCGCATCAACGCTTATTGTGGGATAGAGTAGACTAGACTAAGTTGAAAAGTCCTGTACCACTTTGCAGGTTTTGCATTAGTTAACGAGTTATTAATTATTAAAAATCGCTGTCTTAGGCCGGCCCACTGCCCAATTCAAACGTGTTGAATTGGGCCTAAAACAGTGATTTTTAATTAATAACTCGTTAACTATTGCAAAACCTGCAAAGTGGTACAGGACTTTTCGACTTAGTCTAGTCCACTCTATCCTACAATAAGCGTTGATGCGGGTATTACATAACACCCTGTATATACGGGGCGCGTTAAAATCAGATGAAACGTGTCGACATGTGTGTGTGTGCGTGCGCGCACGAGACCCGGGGAATGCATCAACAAAGCCCGGTATTCTCGTCACATATTTAGCGCTAAATGCGACGGCCGCGTCCGATGAGTTTTATTTGTCGCGATGCTAAATATGCATGGTGTGGAATAACGACCTCTGGCTTTAACCTTTCGAATATGCGGAGGCGAGAACGTACGACTGGTGAAGGCGGTTCCGTTTCGAAGTTGCCGCGGACGATGCTCGGACCGGGGAAATGGCAAAATTTTCTCTCAAAATTTGTCCCGAAAATCATGTAATCGTGGGACAACATGGTATTTTGGATTTGAAACTTTTGGAAATTTTACCATACAGTTTACTAGTAAAATGTATAATGAAATGTGATCAAAATCTCTCATAGAGCTCTTCAAAATGCCGCGTTGTCCTACGATTATAACATGATTTTCAGGGTAGACTTCAAGAGAGAATTCTCTCCGTGTATATTCGATATTTTGAAAGTATTTCGAGCGCACGACTTAAATTAAGATCGCGTAAATTGTATTTAATATAATCTCCAAGATGACAAATCTGGAGATTACGGCTTAATATACGTTTAAGTTTAATATCATATACTCCAATATTAAATTTACATATATATATGACGGACCAATATTCCTTATTGATTATCTTTATACGAGTGGAATAATGATTCCATCGCGTTTAAACCGATATGGCTGGTTATTTGATAGCTCGAATTAATTCGCATCTAAGTATACGCAGAATGTGCGTTGATAATAACAAGTATTACTAGCGAACCAACAAAAGGAATTCTCCTTGTATCTTTCGCTAATGTTTTCTATTATGCTGTAATGGAATAATAGAAATTGGGATCTAAGCATGGCATACTGAGAAGAAAAAACTTTACTGAACATTTCATGCGCTATGCTCATCTCAGCGAATAAAAATTGCAAAAAGAGCAAATTAGTAGCTGCTTTAGATTTGTATTTACGCGTCGTAAATATTTGATTCGTCCATCGGTGCGTCTGAGAGGCTCGTTTTTTTTACGTATTATATACAAAATAATTATAAATGATGTTTAACATAAAATGTTTGACATAAATATACGGTTTGGTGTGGAAAAGTGTAAAATTAAGAACCAATAAAAAATAAAAATGAATTTTCTGTAATTCATTTTTTTGCATACGAGTAAGTCTTTAGTTATTTAAGGAAGCAAATTATTAAGCAGTCAACTTTACTGTATCGTTGATGAAATTTGGTTTCTAAGCTATTTCAGAGGATATTAGAATATTAGTCCAATATTAGAATTCCTCGATATCGAAAAAGTAAGTAGGTTTTGAAGTAAAAACTTATACGGCAGAAATTGAGATAAACAAAATTTAAAATCACCTTTACCGTTGCTTGCCCTCGGCGTTTACCTCCACCTATTCCTTCCATCGATATAAATGCGACGATATTAGTAATCTGCAGCAATAATATTTTTCCCATCACCGAATTTCCCATATCACCGAAGCAAATAGTCGAATTAAAAACATCTAAAATAAAAAGCAAAATTACAAAATTGTATTTTTTCAGAAATTTTTACAAATATTTTAAATAACAATTCTCGCGTGTAATTGAAACGAGTTTGCGTTCATATTAAACACATAAGTAATTTTTTCTGCATTGTCGTTCTGGTAAATATTTTTCAGTCCGATTAGTCTTTAAAAGGTTATTCTTTCCTCTCATCAGCACAAACAATATTATACATATATGTATACGTATTTTATACATTTAATATATTTAATGTACGTACCTAAGAAACTGTAAGAAATATTCAAATAGCAAAATGATGAAACATTGCAGATGGAATAATTAAAGTTACAGACCATATCGATTAATCCGTAATAAAAATAAAATGCGCATCGCATGCGCACGTGCGTTGAAGACAAAAGCATTTGAACTTACAAAGTTGTTGGTAACAAATAACAATGTTTGTGTTACTTATTTTATAATACAATTATGATATAGTAGTTCATTGCTCACGCAATGAGCAGCGATCTCAAAGCGAAACTCGTATTGCCTACGCATAGGTGACTGAAATTCAAATTTAATCCCGCTATAATTAGCTAATTAATTGTATGGCCGCTAATCATGTAATGAGCAATTTATCATTCATAGCTAGCTAGCTAGATAGTAGCATCTATCCGAGTACTTACAAATTTTCGTGTGACTTTGATGAAGATATTATTCACGAGAATCGACAGAGATGAAAATGTCGAGGAAAAAAATTCTATATATAATTCTTGTAAAGGATAGGGCAATAGCGGGATAATATTTCAACGTGTAACTTGAACGGAATAATATTTCTAAGAATATTCGAACGGCCGTTTATCATGTGGGGGGGTGGCGAGCTGAACGTTATTAGTCGTTAATTATCGAATGTATGTGATGCCGGCAGCCTTTTAATTAAATCGATTTTCTTTTTCGTCGCAAAACACCCATTCGCAATTTTTCAACGGCTTCATCATTTCCGGAAGTAAAAGCGCCGGCAACGGGACGTATCTTGCGACACAATATCGCGACGCGATCGTAGATTCTGAAATTCTAAAGTGTTTAAACGTCCACAAACAGGCGCGTGTATATTGGACGTATCAATTTTTAATCATTGTGCTAATAGCTAATTCTATTTTTGTATTTCAGTTGAACTGTTAGAACTATCAGGGCAAAAGTACGCAAGAAAATAATGTTTAGCTTGTACCCAGGTAGGACGTGGTGACACATGCGCGTTTTATATACACTTTCTAAATGTTTGTGAAGTATTAGATAATTACAAACGCTAAATAACCTAACGGTTGACGGTGTCCCCGTAGAGAGGAAAACAAAAAAAAGTATTAGACACGTTTAAGAAACCTATTTAAAATGTAGCGGAAAGACTCCTAGCACGAGATTGCGGGGGTTTCTGTTAAATTAATAGACGTCATCTGTTGATTCCACTACGAATTTATTGCTCTTGGAGCGAAATCTGTTTAATGAAAAATTCAATGTTAGATTGTGTAATCGTGGCGGAAAGAGTTTTGTGATTGAATTTGAGTGTTGAAAATCTGCTATCTCATATTAGAAACCTATCTCGTGATAGAAGACTTTCCTCTATCGTGTACTACCCGGGTAACTCTATAATTTTATGCTTAATGCGACTATCTTCTGCTGATTCTTCAATCGATAAGAAATAGAGCGAATCTTCCCAAAATAGTTAACGTAAGTTGCGTCGTCATAGAAGGAGATTACAAAGATAGCACGTAGAATTGTAAAAAGTAGAATTATAAATCTTCTCTCAGTTTCTCATCATTCTCTTCTCGGAGATTATCCCTGATGGAGAACTTTGATTTTTCGTATTTTAAATTTAGGCTCTCAAAATATAAAACCAGCGGAGGGTAGGGAAGGCCAATGCGAGCCGTACGCAGGTAATAAGGCGTAGTATTCAAAATAGTCATGGACAATTTAATAGCAAAATGTAAAAACGTTTCGATCCACCCCGGATCATCCTCAGTGCAAAGAGAAATACGAGTAACAAATAAAAAGATTTCCACGTAAATTCGGCAAAAAACACAAACGATTTATAAGAGAAAGAGAATACCAACCAGGTGTTAAAACGTAGAATTGTAAAAAGTAGAATTATAAATCTTCTCTCAGAACAAACGTTGCAGCCCCTCCATCTCTCACTTTGTAGTGGTCTCGCATTTGCAAGGATGTAACAGCCGGTGGACTCAAAAAATTAATTTTCGTGGTAACATAACGCCGAGAGAAGAGCAAGAGACTCGCCTCAGGAAGAGAGAGGAATCTCGAGAGCGAACTGCCGCGTGATGAAGGTGAGACGACTATATATAATCAGATATCACAGCGAACGTTATTGTTGTCAAAAACACGACACAAGCAAACTGAGTCGAAATGTAAAGAGAAAAACATGGGGGGAGAGAGTTTTGAAAGTTAGCGACAAATTTAAACTTTCGTCAAATTATTAATCATCAACTATTTTTCTTTTTGCGCTGGATATAGATCGTTTCGGAGATCAGCCGTTTATATAAAAAGGTTTCTTCATCCGAGATATCAACGTTATCCCAGTCAAAATCATGGCCTAACAATCCGACGGGGAAAAATCGCCGATTCGTAAGTAATTTCGATGAGAACGGAAACGTCGGGGGAGGAGTAGAGGTACAGGAGGAGGATGACGTCGCGGTGCAGCGTTGGCATTCTAAAAAATGATCAACCTTCAACCCCTTTACGGTTTCACCTTTGCTGTCGCGCTTTCGAATTCTTACTCACGTCCACGGGCAATAACTCCCACTCACGGTTATAACTCTGCTGAAAGACGGACGGCGGTCGATATAACTCGGCCATTTTGTGGATAATTGCGAGCGACGCGTCGCATCGCCACGTCCGTCTCGTTAATGAGAGACGGATACGCGTCAAGAACCTCGCCGCGGCGGAAACCTTCGCACAGTCTCCCTGGGGAAACGGACTTCCCGATTTCTCTCGCAACGTACACGTGTCCCAGATGTTTCCGACACCTCCGCTCTCATTTTAATTTACGACCGATTTTTCTGGAATAATTCGAGATTATTTTTACTTTTCTCGAGAGACAATTGCAAGCCGTTTAAATGGGGCATAACATACGTTCTGTTTTTGCAAGGAAATTATTGAATGAATTGAATACTAATTGTAAGCGCGTCTAAGAAAAGGGTCCGAAAACGTTCTTTAGAAATTACTCAAATGTTGCCAAGGAGCTTTGATATTGCCCGTCGTTCGAGCATCTTTTTAGTTGGTTAATTTCAACGCGACAGGCTGAAAATGTATTGTGTTGTAAATTTATCAGTTAGAAATAGTTCTACGAGATCTATAATTCTATGAGAAATAAATAAAGTTGTACCATTAGAGATAGAAATGAACTTCCATCTCTAGAGTTATCTCCTCCACTCAATCATCGACTTTACTCCTAGCCCCGACGCCCTCCATTCCTGGCTGCACCTGTTAAACCGTCAGGAATCCGTACGTACCTGTTGAAATGCGAACCGTAAATTAAAGGGATTCACGTGAGGCGTCAACTCAGATGCCGCGGCGAGCCGTTTTAATGATATTTACATAACTTCTTAATTTGACCCGTAGAAACGGTACCCATTTCACATAACGGATTGCGACGAAAAATGTAAGATCCCGTTTTAACGCGAAAGATTGAGGTATCAAAAATTTATTTGGGGAAATGGAATAAACGGGTTTTAATTTTCCGATAACATTTTTCACTTTTCTCCGAAGTACAAAAGCAATAACCTACGGAGACACGTTTACATTACCCTGTTGTTTCTAAGAAATCTAACAACTGACCGTTAAACAACTTTCCTTCGATTAGATTCAACTTTGCTTTCGACTTTATGTATTTGACTTCAAGAGAGAAGATATTTCAATCAGTGTTCATTAAAAGAACAAGTTGCCTCATTACTGCACACGCACAGTCACCATGTAAACTCAATATTTATCAGATCAATTCCAGAGTACAGGCATGTGCTTAATTTTCTTAAGAAAAGAAAGCGATGCTTTCTTTTAATTTTGCGATCGTTAAGCGCACTTTCCCTAATATGTAAAAGCATTAGTTGACTTATAAATGTAATAATAACCTAATTGATTTGTTTTTGCGCAACACCTTTGCAAATATCGAAAGGAAAGTTCATTTAGCGTTGCCGAAGTTAGTGAAGTTCGCAGTGAACGCATTCGGAACGTTACAGCTTACAATTAGAATTAGAGAAGATAAGCAGACAATTCCCTATTCGATACTTATTTCCTTTACACAAGCCGCTCTTTCAGAGCGACCTGCACGGAGAAAGGGAGCCTTTTAATTATCAACTGTTACAGGGTGGGATGAGCGGTTCGTGCGACGCGCGATTTTTGTTTCCTCGCAAACTTCATACAAGCGTGTTCCCGAGAAAAGAGACGGGCTATAATTATCTTTTCTTGAGGGAGGTAAACAAAACTCCCCCGGTCCGCCCCCTCCTCCCCCTCCCGCCTACAACTTGGCGTACTCGCGCGGCGGAAACGCGACAGCGAGGACACCCTCCAAGTGGACACGCGGTCGGTCCTCGCGTGCGTCTTCTTCCGCTTCTTACGCGACGCCGGGGAAGTACCGGCGCCTGCGTGATGCCCACCACGCGTGAAGACCGAAGTATATAGGAGCGTGGCTGCCCACCGCCAGCGTCACATTGCATCCCCCGACGTACGTCCTTCAGCGTCGCCGAGGTCTCGACACCCCCCCAGTGGCGGTCGGTGCTCCCAACTCCGGGCCGAGGGACCGGTACCCACCACCCCGAGGAACGCCACGTCGCGGCCGATCGACCGAGATCGAGCAGACGTCTCGGAGATAACGGAGAGACATCATCCTCCCGACTTCCGGTATCAAGGGTTGATCTTCGCCCGGGGACACCTTTCGCGCGCGACCGGATATCGTCGCGCGAGCCGATTCTTCCCCCCCCCCCCCCTGGCAACCCACCTCCGCATGTCGTAAGATCGAGGCGGCCTTAATCGGCGCGGTAATAAGACAACGCAACATCCGGCGACAGGATTCTGGACCGCACGCCGTTAATATGGGCATCAGTTTCATTCCGTTGCTTGTGGTGACTATGGTATCGATAATCATCGGTAGTTACGGATGTGCCGTTGGGAAGAGGAGCACCACGGGTGGCGATATCGCTAATAATATCGATTATCCCGATTACTCGCCTAAATACGACGAGTCGTATCCGGTGAGTAAAGAAATGTTTATCGTTCCGGGTTTAAGCCCTCGCCAAATCTTCTGATGCGCCCATCCTCGAGCTTGGTTTAATTCGTACTTTGTCTCTTTCCAACTGTTACTTTAGAAAGAGACAAACATGAATTAATCTAAGATTAAAGTTAAGCGACGTTTGGTGAAACCCGGGCCTTAGGGCCAGTTTCACGAACATCGATTAACTGTTCAATCGATTCCCTATCCTTTTCCATCCTTATTATTTAAAAAGAGACAGAGAATCGATTAACCTTCGGTTAGCAGTTAACCGATGTTTGTGAAACCAGCCCTTGGTCGCTTAACTTTAATCTTGGTTTAATTCACGTTTGTCTCTTTCTAAAGTAACAGTTGGAAAGAGACAGAGAACGAATGAAGCTGAGCTTGAAGTTAATCAACGTTGGTGAAACCGGATCTTATTGAATTGAAGAAGAGACGCACTAGCGTCCGAGCTATTACCTCAAAATGTAAAAACTGGCTGTTAAAATCATGAACGTTCTTGCCAATTTCAAAGTATATGGAAATAAAATTAGGATCGCAAAATAAATGCGCAAAGTGATAATTGTCAGTGCGAAATGAAAGACTCTTCCTCCTGCTCGAGTTTCTCCAGTCCAACGACACAGGCTCTGCGCGCGCTATTAATTAGTATTAATTAATTCTCCTCCGTGCGGATTGTGTTTATTTAAAATAATATTATCTTGAGAGCATTATATTTGACCCGTCCCGTTACGTTACAACATTTCTCCCGCAGTTGCGTTCTCTCGAGAACGTCTCTGAAAATGGATTGTCGTTTTCGCATACGCGTAAGGAGGAAAATTTTTATAATTGTGCAATCGAGAAATATTAAATTTGTTCGATGTGATATCGGACGTGACAGTAATCGCAGGTTGTTCATAATCGATTCTGGGAAATCGTGTAAAATACGGCTTGCAATAGTATTAAATGTATTAAAACTTTGTCTCTTCGTATTCAACTCGCAAAAAAATATTTGACGTAATATATGCGAGATATATTCATATTCTTATTAATAATAACACGGTTTATTGAAATTAAAATAATTTGTTATAAAATAATGTAAATATTGCATATGGGAAATTGACAAGTAAAGGTTTTACGTAGAAAAACGAAGGGTGAGGATAAATGGAAAATATAAATTACAAAATTTATAACTTTGCTTGCGAGACTTTGCAATTTTTAACGGAGATTTTAGAAAAATATATAAAATGTGATGTAAAGAAATACATACACACACATATATATATTTTTTTTTGAGATTATCTGAAATTTTAGGAATTAAAATGTACGACTTTACTTGTCTGCAGTGGGCATACGAATACGTTATCGCTGGTACAGGGAATAAAGTCTTGCTAAACATTACATTATCCAAATAAGCATTACGTGCATCGAGAAAACTACGCAAGTGTGCGGAGACATAGATGAAAAATATATTGTTATTCACGGTTATTGGTTTTACGTTTTCTTCTTATTTTTCAATTTGGACTACTTCGTTCTACAAACATTGCAGAATCGGAATATTAATGAAAAGAAAGCAAACAAAAAATTCCGGCTGCGACGAGATTGAGACACGATCGGGCTTTCGCTATGAGCAGAGAATGAGAGAAAACCCAGCCGCATCGTAACGCGGCAGAACAGTAGAAATTGTAGACTCAAATATGTCGCTCATAAAGAGGTTTAAAAAGTGCGAAGCGGTTTCTTCGAATTTCTCTCTCTCTAAAAAAAAGAAAAATCTGCATCAGAGAGGAAAAGGACGATTGTGCAGGAAATCCGTCAAATGTAACTTCCCACTTTCCACTGGCGATCTTTCTCCTTTCCTTTACCTGCATTCGGAAAGAGGAAACCGTTGTTTTTCTTCCGTTGTTTTTCTTAGTAATTGCGTCACAACATGGATTCGAGAGGACATCGGCGAATCCAGCGGCCGCTTATGTGTTGCATCTATTCTGTGCCGCTTTTGGCTCTCCTTTCCTCCCTGTCTTTTATTTTTATCTCTTTCTCGATATCCGATGGCCTTTATTTTTCTCTTGGTTGACGCTTCTCAAATTTCCTTATTACGACACTTTCTATCGCGTTTCCCGCCGCGGGAACAAACCGAGAACATGCCTTGCCGGCTACTCGCGCCATATATACATCGGTTTTTCGCATGTTAAACTCTCCCTTGACTGCGAGTAATCGCACGCTCCAAGAGTCGCCACGCGCGCGATTTAAGTTTAACGAGCGAAACGTTGCGTTTACGATATCACAATGCGGCACTTTGACACGCGGGGATTGGCAATTTGTAAATTTTATGAACATCGTACACGGCCATAGACCGCGCACTCTAGGCCAACTTACCTCGGCAACTAAGACCTTAGGTGGTCCACAAGCTGTTACATTGCAGCAGATATCTTGAACATTGTTGCGAGTCACGTTTTACCCCCCAAAAAAACATGCGGATATGCCTCATTAAGTTTAATCGACGAGTTTGAACAATAGAGTGAGTCGAGGGTAATTTCATTTGTAAAATATAATCGCCGATTTTGCATCCGCTGAAACTGAATACCTTTCGAAATTGCCTCGAAAGAGACACATACGAGCAACTTGTCCGTTTCGATTCCTTTCACGTTTGTTTTTTATATTCCGTGTAGCTTTTTTTTCATCACTGAATATCGAATGTCCGCGTATTTTTACGAAGAAGCGTTGCTCTCAAATGACGAGCAAAATATCACAAAGAGGAAAAGAATCGGTTGAGAACCTACGGATGTATAATTTTATCACGATTCGAGTCACTGATTCCTTATCCCGTTAACACTGTTATTAAAAGTTTCCTCTTTCTCAGCGGGTGTATTCTTCTTTAGCATATAACGTAATGCTATGCGAGCGTCCAGAGAGACGTAATGATATACTTATTTAAGGATAAAAGTAAACAATATTGAATTTTACACACTACTGCTCTCTAAGTAAAAGTACAATAATTTGCTCCGTCAAAGAATGTAATTCGAGCCAGAAAAATGTATTACGTAGCTTTTTAAAGATTACGCAAAATTATTCCATTTGCAAGTGGAATAATTTATCTATTTGCAACTATACTTTAGACACAGTCGTCCTTAATTCCGTGGCATTAAGATTTGGCGGTACTTAGCGATTTATCTTTATTTCCCTTTGTTCTAGTGCGGCGCTCGGAAATAATATTTCTCTTGCCTTTGTTCGTATCTTCATCAAGATCCAGTTGAGCGATGATAAGCGCTACTTAGGTTCTCGTAACTAGGAAAACAGCTATACGTATTTAATTCGGAGCAAACTCTGCGACATTATCTCAACTTCCAGCCGTCTCGCGATGTTTCGCGTTAATTAATCGCGGATTTTTCACGCTCGATTGACCAAAATGATCCAAGCCGGTTTCGCGAATACTCGTGAATTTCACGAAGTTACACTCGCTGGGAAAACAGTTTGCGCCTTTGAAGGATCGAAGAAACTCGCGCAGAGTTGATTGTGACGGTGTATCGTTTTAACGGCGAACTACGAACGCCTCGTCCCACTTACCGTGGAATTATTAACTTCTCAGACGACGTTTCCATTACCTGCTAATAATCGTGCTTCGTTAATTCAATCGGCTACGACTTACGATCCTCTGTTTAGACGGAGACACATTGTCGCGCAACTTTGTCAGCGCTTCATTTCCGTGATCGCCCTCTCGATTAGTTCTCGTTTCGAGTAGCGTCAACGAATTCTCTCGATGTGTATTAATTCATTCGTCCAGCCGCCCGTACCAATGACGCCGCGATAATATTATTGCAAATCGAAATGTTAAATAAAGCGTAGTTATTATCTCTCCCAACAATAATATCGAGAAATTTTCTAGTAAGAGCGAAACGAAGCTGCGCGCACTTGAACAGATCATCTGTCCGAGATTTAAATTCTGAATCCTCGCGGAAAGTAACATTTTAGAAGTGGAACGACGCGAATTCTAAAATTTTTAATTAAATTTTGATTTTCAAAGGATAGAAACAAATTCAATTACGTGGAATAGAATTCTTATCAATCCTATTTAAACTACTTACTTTTCACAGTACAGAGACCAAGTTTTGACTATATAAGTATCTTCGTAGTCGTTTTTAATTAATCTTTTGTCAATCGTTTGCATCAAAGTTAATATATCGTAAGTGTAAACAAAATTGCATAGAATAAAAAGCTAAAAAAAGGGGGCGAAATTCATTAATGATTTAAATATTTTTACGTAATTGATATAAAGAAACAAGTTTTATTAGACGTTTGCGTTTCTTTCCTTCGGTGTTCATTATAAACTACGTTTAATTACCTTTTTGCTTCTGCTTTTACCCCAACCATTCGCTTGTGGCGCATACCAATCGATTAAAAGTATACTTAATAATTTCCACAGTCCTTACGCCCTTTATAATTAAACATTTATGTTTGTGTGAATATTTCTTTATGCTTTCTTGCGTGAAACTTTGTGCTATTTAAAAAATTAATAATATCAATTAAATAAAATTCATAAGACGCGAAATCACGAACACGAAGTAACAAAGGATATAAGAGCCAAGACAGGATGTTAGTGTCTAAATGATTTTAATTTTTTAATTTATTGCGAAAAATTTACCCCAGCCAGGGTTTGAGCCCGGACCTCCCCCTCACTAGGCGGGTGTAACTTGCCTCAGTGGTCGAATTGTGAGACATCCTGCCTTGGCTCTCATCCTTTATTACTTCGTATTCGTAATATTAATGAATTTCTTTATTGACAGACAAAGTCGATGTACTCTGAACACAAATGCGATCAAGAAGATCGGCACTCTTGTTGGTACAAGCTGGTGCTTTATTGGCGAAATTTAAACGCGCGATAAGCTAGATAACATACCGTAGATATCACTGATTAGTATAAATTGGTCCGTTTAATTGGTCCGTCGTATGAAGCGTCAAGTAATTTATTTCGGCCTGCGTGGCGAGTTAATTAAATCGCGCGTGACTTATTGA